CTAGAACCCGAGGTGCTGGCGCCGTAGGTGGAGGATTAGCCTAGTGAGCCGCAGTGCCGGCCCCCTTAGCATCTTAAGGATTTTCCTTATATTCTTACTTTGCTGGTTGTTTTTATCATGAAGGAGTATTTGATTTTGTCAAATGCTTTTCTTCATTGATTAAGGTGACCGTATGATATTTTTCTCTCCTACTAAAGTGATGCATTATACTGATTGATTTTCTTATGTCGAACTTTCCTTGCATTCTGGGATAAATCATCTTGTTTGGTTATAGAATATAATCCTTCTAATGTGCTGTTGACCTTGTTTTCCTAGTATTTTGTTGAGAATTCTCTCTTTTTTTAAAAAAAAATGTTTTTGAGGAAGAGAAACAGAGATGAAGTTTTTTGGTTCACTCCCCAAATGCCTGCAACGTTTAGGACTGGGCCAGGGCCATAGCTGGGATCTGGGACAATCCAGGTCTCCGCACAGATGGCAGGAAACTAGCTTCTTCAGCTGTTGCCTGCTGCCTCCCAGGGTGCGCATTAGGGTGAAGTCATAATTGAGAGCAGAGCTGGAGCCCGAACCAAAATGGGGACTGGTGTCCCCGTGCGTGGCTTCACTGCTAGGCCAGAAACCCACCCTGAAAATTCTGTCTTAAAAAAAATCCCATAGATTTAAATCATCCTTCCCTGTGTTAATTTGTGCTCCTTTTTATTTTCTGATTATTCAGAATTAGCCAAAGCAAACACCTGGTGTCTTTTCTTCCTCTTTTTCCCCTCGTCTTTGTGAGCAGGTAACCTCCAAATGATACACAAGATGATATAATACCATACATGTTGTCATCCCAGTTTCTACCCCTTTCTTTCTTGAACTTTTCCAACATTATGGTTCGTGAGAAATTTTAGTAATCTCCACTCACAATGATCCTTTCTCCCCTAAAGAAGAAAAGTAAATTGGGAAAACAGTGTTCCCCAGCGTTTCAACACTGGAGTCCACGAAGAAGCCAGTGCATCTGATACCTCCAGCGCAGCACAAAGTTATAATCTCTCAGGCTCTTTTCATAACCTAAGGCTTTGTCATATCATGGGTACTTTAAAAGACTGTAGGAAAAGATTGTTCCTAAGGACAGCTATGGTGTGTTCTAGTAGCTGGGTTGGGGGAATACAGATTACGTATGGAAACCAGATAGCATCAATAGAGTGGGCTGAGGCCGGCGCCACAGCTCAATAGGCTAATCCTCTGCCTGTGGCGCCGGCACACCGGGTTCTAATCCCCGTCGGGGCACTGGATTCTGTCCCGGTTGCTCCTCTTCCATTCCAGCTCTCTGCTGTGGCCCGGGAGTGCAGTGGAGGATGGCCCAAGTGCTTGGGCCCTGTACCCACATGGGAGACCAGGAGAAGTGCCTGGTTCCTGGCTTCCCATCAGCGCGGTGTGCCAGTCACAGCGCGCCGGCCTCAGCAGCCATTGGAGGGTGAACCAACGGCAAAGGAAGACCTTTCTCTCTGTCTCTCTCTCTCTCACTGTCCACTCTGCCTGTCAAAAATAAAAAAAGAAAAAAAATAGAGTGGGCTGAGCTAACTCAGAAAAACCTTCTCAAACACATGCAAGTTCTGGGTGAAATATAAACAAAGGCAGACTTTCAACACATAATAGCACTCAGAAAGAAGTCCAGGTACTAGAAACAGAGCGGCATCGAGGCTAGCAGGGTCAGAGGACACTGCCTGGGGATATGAGACCTCTGAATGGACTCAAAGGCAGGAGGCTCAGGGGCTAACACGGGGAGAGAATAAAAGACCTCAGGTCTCTGTGACATACGATGGACCTTGTGCCTAGAAGAGCACCTTTCTGTAGAGCTGCCACTTCAGTACAACAGAAACTAGAATATTTGTACTCGCTAGACTGACAAAGAAGTCACACATCATGCTATGCGACCAGGAAAATGGGTCGAAGAAAGAACGACCCACTAGAAACTGGAGGCCCACGCTGAACGTTTGAGGTCCGATTTGAGATGAGCGTCAATGCCAGAACTATCGATATAGACGTTGATGTGACCCACGCAGCCCTGACACAGCCAAGGAAAAGTCATTCTGAAGGACTGGGGCACACGTGGTAAAGGAACCCCAATAAAGGAGAGCATTCAGTCCCACGGCTGGGAAAATTAGCTCAGTGAGACCTGGAGATGCAGGGAGAGTCGGAAAGAGCCTGTCACACACTGAGGAAAGAAAACCCAGAAATCAAAAGGCAAGAGAAGAATAGTGTGTAAGGCCAGGTGGATTTGGTAGAAAAAAATGTGTAGACATGAAAAGGTCAGAAATTTAAATTACGACATTGGACAGTTTTAAAGAGATTTGAATAAAGCTGAAGGAAGAAGGAGTTGGAGAGCGTGGAGGAGATTTGGGGATGTGAAAGACAGAATGAGGTTGATCCATCTAATAGAAGCTCCGGAACAAGCAAACAGAGAGAACGAGGGAGGGAGTATTTGTGGCATTCTGAGTACATGAAAATGAGCAGACCTTTGAGTTATTGCAGTTTCCCAGGCCCGAGCAGCCAAACAGGGTACGAGAACAACTCTGGGCCTCGTTGTAGGTGTGTTGTGACGAGACTACAATATGTCAGGCTCCGGGGGAATTGTTATAAGAACAACTGGGAGGAAAAAAATGACAGCAGAACTAGGCAAGCTTCAATGCCGATGACAAAAAGCAATGGAGAAATCAACTGGGGGTTCTAAAACCTTCTCAGTTCTCAAACAGTGAGCTCAGAAAACTTTTGGTTTTCTCAGATATGCAGGTTAGAGACTTAAGGGTGAACACAAAAATAAGAATGTAGTCTTCAAAACCAGTAGTCAAAAGAAGTGGAAACCAGTAGACAAAAGAAGTGGAAAAAAATAATGAGCAAAGAAAACACGCAATCACTGGAAGCATAAAATCAATGGCACTGTTGATGCATATTTTAAAACAACTGTCTGTTGAGACTACATAAATATGAAGCAAAAGTACAAACCCAGGACTGGTAGATTATTTCTAGCTTTTTTAATAGGAAGGACAAGGATAGGATCAGAGAGGAGTATGAGCGGCTCTATACTTGGAGTCGTATATTTTTTTTTTAAGATTTGTTTATTTATTTCGAAGTCAGAGTTATACAGCGAGAGAAGGAGAGGCAGAGAGAGAGAGAGAGAGAGAGAAAGGTCTTCCATCTGGTTCACTCTCCAATTGGCCACAACAGCTGGAGCTGCACCGATTCAAAGCCAGGACCAGGAGCCTTCTCTGGGTCTTCCCACATGGGTGCAGGGGCCCAAGGACTTGGGCCATCTTCTACTGCTTTCCCAGGCCATAGCAGAGAGCTGGATCAGAAGAGGAGCAGCCAAGACTCCAACCAGAGCCCATATGGGATGCGGGTGCTGTAGGCCAGGGCTTTACCTGCTAAGCCACAGCGCCAGCCCCAAGGGTTGTATAGTTTTTTAAGGTCTGAAGTGTTTGTTACAACCAGGCAACCTCCTTGCTTTCCATCACAGAGGAAGACCTAATACCCCCACTGAGGCTGAGTTAGCAAGCAGCTCCGCTCTGGGAGTGCGAGGCTGCAGTACCTTGGTCCGGCCTCTCTGAAGGTGTGAGCTGAAGGACATCAGCACAGCGAGCCGCTAGTTCCCTCTTCTCGGCCCCAGCTGTGTTCTGCAGCTTGTGGGCATTTGCACACACGGGTGTGGACTCGCCGTCTTCCTTCTGCATGTGCGCATCTACGTCCTCCTCTCCTCTGCCTGTAGGGAATTCAGCCATCCAGGAATCAGGCCCAGCGCGACGGCCTCATTTTTAACCTTAGTCACACTTTTTCAGACCCTGCCTCCAAGTACAGCCCGGTCTGCAGCACCAGGGTTAAGGATTTCTGCGTCTGAGTTGGGGGTGGGACAGGGAGAGAGACGCACAGGATTCAGGCTTAACAGAGGGCATCAGCAAACTCTGCAGACCAGCAAGAAAATCCCAGCACCCTTCAGGCACTCCCTGCCGGCTCATAGGATAAACAGCAGTCCCCCACCCCCACCCAGTCCTCCAGGACAGCCCTATGGTACCTCACAGCAGTGGCAGCCACAGAGGGAACATTCAGGGCTCCACATCCTTGGGTCTTAGATGAACACTCGCCTTGATTTTCATGCTGGTTCAAAATAAACACCAGATCTGGGAACCTGAGATGTGTGTGTAGTGCTCTCTTACCCTGCCTGGTGTCACTGGCTGCAGGTAGGAGTGAGGCTTGGGCGCATTTACCTTGGACACAGATCACTACTCTCAGGGGTGTGAGCAGCCCGGGTTGTGCCTGGCATGACTGTGACCCATCAGTGGGAGGAAGGCTGCTCAGAGGTACTGGGGACAGGAGGGGCTGAAAACAGGATGCCAGCTATTTATTTATTTCAAAAGATTTGTTTATTTATTTGAAAGGCAGAGTTACAGAGAGAGAGAGAGAGAGAGAGAGAGATCTTCCATCTGCTGGTTCACTCTTCATATGGCTGTAACAGCTGGGGCTGGGCCAGGCTGAAGCAAAGAGCCAGGAGCTTCATCCAGGGCTCCCATAAGGGTGCAGGGACCTAATCACTTGGGCCACCTTCTACTGCTTTCCCAGGCAAATTAGCAGGGAGCTGGATTGGAAGTGGAGCAACTGGGACTCCAGCCAGCAGCCATATGGGACACTGTCTCAGGCAGCGGCTTAACTCACTGTGCTACAACGCCAGCCCCCAGTTGGTGCTTTGATATGGGATGCCGGTGAGGCAGGCAGCAGCCTAACCCACCGCACCACAATGCCAGCTCCAGGGTGCCCTTTAGAAGAGGAAGCTGTATACTCAACAGGCTGCGATAGCATCTACTGTAAATACTGGGTCCACTTGAGAAACAGGAACCCCTTCCTGGCTGTGGGCAGCCCTCCCCCAAACCTGCGCCTTTCTCTCTAAATTTACAACCTGAGATTCTTTATCAAGCCTCTTTGAGTCGTGTTGGGGTGAACCTGGAGACTGACCGTGTTTGCTTTCCCTGCAGGATGAATGAACGCGACCGTCTGATAAAGAGGCTGAGCAGGAAGACGCCCCCCACCCTGTTCCGAGGCAGCTCTGTCTCCCAGAGCGTCCCCCGTAAGTAGCTTACGCAGGGCGGGCGAGGGCAGGCAGTGCCCAGGCCACGAGGGCAGTGCTCGTAGGGACAGGGACAGCAGCTGCCTAGCGGGAGACACACTTCTGGAAGTGGGGGCTCCTGTGTTTGGCCCCAGGCAGGAGCAGCCTGACATAGGCTCTTTCCACTCAAATGGCATGAATGACAAAATCCTGCAACTGAAAACCCTGAAACGGTGACAGTCCTTCTCGCAGCCTCCCCAAAGGAGTTTGTTAAGGATATTTTTGAACTGATATTGCTTTGAAATTATTGCTCCCAGGGCCAGCCATGTGAACTGTTTTGTTTGTTTAGTGTTAGCATATTCATTGCTATCATGACAATCCCAAGCGGAAAATCCGCAGGCTGTCCCATTACCCTACCCAGCACCCACAAACCCAGTCACCGGGCTGGACAGTGAGCAGCCGCGAGTGTCCATCTGCTTGGGAGCTCCATGGGCTCCTGGGGCGGGAGGCAATCCAGGCTGCCTTCCCAGGCAGAGCCCCTCAGCATCTCTGGGTCCCCCCATCTCTGCCATACCCCACGTGCCCCACTGTCCAGGTCATGGAGCTCCCATCAGCAGGTTATTTGCAGACTTTCTCATCTTTCAGCCGTGCACTCCATCGCCACACCAGCCCACATAGAACATCTGTATGGGGGGGGCAGCTCCGTGGCGGGGCCCGGCCCACTTCCTGTCCTGTAGTCCTCCCCACTGACTCCACTGAGGGGCACAAAGCAGGACCTGGGAGTGAAAAACCCTGATCTTGGCAGTGCTTTCAGCTCCCCGGGAGCCACCGCGGCTCGAATCTGATCCACGCTTCCTACACATGCTCATTCCCATGGCTGCAGGAAGCTTTGTCCAGACAGCAAACTGCTACTTCCATTAAGGTGCTATTAGAACCCAGGTTCAAGGGGCTGCTGCTTAAGGAGAAGCTCATTCTAGAAAAATGGGGGTGGCATGGGGGAGGGGAAAGACACGATGTCATGACCTTCACTGAATGTCCTACCCCTCCACTGCCATCTAACTAAGAGACCCCCTCCCCTCCCATCTCCCTCTGCCTCTCTGACTGTCCCCAGCCTGGGTACTGAGGAAGCCCATGGGCCAAGTGCAGGCCCCCGTGGTGATGTACTGGCTGTCAGGACTTCCTGGAAGACGAATGAACGTGGGAAATGGGAAGAGCCAGAGGCTCCCCCTGAACACTCCGACTGGATGCAGAGGCAGTTAAATGTTCATCAGGCAGGGCCTGGGGAGCCGACCATGCGTCTGTGTCAGCCTGGGGCCGAGGCTGGGCAGGTGGAGGGCAGTGGCGAGGTCCTGGTGCCTGTTGTTCCACTAGAATATCTCCTGTGACAGCCTCACCCGCACTGGGCCTGCTTCTGAAAGGAAATATTTTGTCTGAACCAGGGAGGACTCCCCCGCCACCCCCAGGTTAAACCCATGAGGCCACCTACCTTTCATTCCTTTTTAAAGATTTATTTATTTTTTCATTTAAGAAGAGACAGACAGACACAGAGAGATTTTTCTGCCTGCTGGTTTATTCCCCAAATGCCCACAACAGGCAGGACTGGTCTGGGACCAAAGCTGGGAGCCAGGAACACAACCCTGGTCTGCCATGTGCGTTGCAAGAACCCAATCCCTTGAGCCGTGGCTGCTTCCCAGGGTGTACGTTAGTAAGAAGCTGGAGCCAGAGCCAGGTGCCAAACCCAGGTGCTCCAGCACGGGACATAGACATCTCCACTGCCATCTTACCTGCTTGGCTAAATGCCCACCCCTTTACATTTTTTAAATAAATGTGTTTATTAGGGAGATACAAGGAGAAAGGGAGCAATGTTTATTTTAAGGTTTCAAGAAGTCCTCTTCATTCCACCCCCCAAAGATGCCAAAAAAGACAGGCAGAGCAGGCCCCTCTCCACATCCATGCCCTGGGGTTCCATAGCACTGGGTCCTGCACCCATGGATTCAGTCAACTGCAGATCGAAACCACTCAAAGAAAAAAGTGCGTCATAGTGAATGCATAAAGACTGTTTTTCTTTCATTCTTCCCTAACCCATATACTATAGCAACCATTCACATTGTACTAGGCATGATAGGTCTAGAGGTATTGCAAGTATTGGTGTTCATAGATTGTGTGCGAAGGCGACTCCAGTTTATGTGGGGCACTTGAGCATCTGTGGGTTTGGGGACTCATAGGGGTCCTGGACTGATCTGCAATTGTTCTATTTGGACTGACAGTTGAGACGGGCGCCCTTCTCTCCTGACATGGCTAGAAGCCCTTCCCTTGGGTGCACGGTGCACAGTAGCAGTCAGCGGGACAAGACTTTGCAGCCTGGGTGTGGTTAGCCTAGGAGGTGCCCGGGGGCTGCAGTCAGGCTGGAGCTGCGGGAGAACTTGGCCTTCTCCTGGACCAGCCTGTTTCTTTCTACAGAAACCAACAGCCGGAGAGCTTAAGGTATCCAAAGTCACATGGCCAGTGCTTCAGCCTCTGAAGTACCAAAGTGGTGTTCGGGTGGGGAGCTCAGGACACCTGCCTGCCAGTGTCAGTGTCCTTGCACAGCTGGCACTGGTGATCCGAACCCCCTCTGTCGGACCCAGGAGCAGCTCTGGCATCAGAGGCCGGACTGCCCCTCCCGCAGGTCGTCCCATCCAGACGTGGCCACCTCAGAATCCATGAGATGTTTGGTAGAAATGTTCCTTTTTCAAACGCTGAGAGCGAAAGCTGTCTAAGTCGAGCACAGTGCGCAGCCTTGTTCTCAGGGCAGACAGTGGTGTTTGCTGAATCTTGCTTTGAAACATCCCAGGGAACACGGTCTCCTCCTGGACTGAAGTAAAAAGGCCTCACAAAGAGCACCTTGTGTGGGCTGGGCCAGGGCACTCTGGGCAGAGGCGGGAGGCTGGGAGCAGCCGCTCTGGAGCTGAGCAGTGGTGCTTTCCCGTGCCCGGTGCCCTCTGAACAGGCAACATGGCAAAAAAACAACGCTGTTAGGGAGCAGAGGTGAGAGGCAGCATTTGCCGCTCAGGAGCGGGCCCTGGGAAGACCGTCAAGCCAGGAGCATCAAAGCAGAGCCAGCGTAAGGAAGTTTAAGTGCATCGGCTGCGGCTCTGGCTGGAGCAGCTGAGCAAGCACATCCGGCCCCCGCAGGAGCCGCCCTGTCCAGGCTGGCTTCTGCCTTCCTGCGCCGGGACCTCCTGCTCTTGTGCCCAAGCCACCTGGGAACACTGCTCTGGGAGCTGCCTCAGCCTGGCTGCCACGTGATGGGATTTTTCTGGTTTGTGGGTTGGTTGGTTACGAGTGGAGCGCCTGTGGAAGATTCCTCTCTGTCTTGGCTCACTCTGCCTTCGCTCTGGCCCCTTCTCTCTCCCACCCCTGGCCTCCTGGGTCTGGGCCCTCCTCCCTGCTGCTGAGCCCCGCTGTCCTCAGCTGACCCCAGGCCACCTCTGCAGACGAGCCCTTGCCTCCCAGGGCGGCCCACCCCAGCCTTCGGGTTTTCTCGGGAGGTGGCTGGAGAGCTACTGTCCTGAGGAGCAGGGAGGCCAGCCCAGCAAGTGCAGGGAGCAGCCTGAGCATCTCCTGAAGTCTCCTCCCCCCCTGCATCCCCACCCTGCTACTGTGTGTCTCTGTGCCTCAGCACCGTGTGTGTCTGGGTCCTTGTGTACAGGCACACGCTGTGTGTCTCCAAACACGCCAGCATCTTGACTCTTGAAGCCAGGTATCTGGGGAAATCAACCAGCAATCCAGGAGCTGACACCTGGGCATGAATCCTGGTTTCTTTCTCTCCTTTTAAAGTGTGTATCAGGAGTGTGCATAACAGCTCCCTTGATAAACCGTGAACCTGCCAGAGTGGGAGTCACCACTGCCAGGCTTTTCAGTGTTGCTTTTAACCAGAATGGCTAATAGAACTGCAGGCCCTCTCCCCTGACACGGAAGGGTTAGCCCCAGGGAGAGTCTTTCCAAGAGTCTTTCCATGTGAGGAGCCAGCGGAAGCAAAGACCTGCTTTGGGTTTATGACCCCTAAGTCACTTTAAACCTGGAGACGCAGAACAACATGGGTTTCTCACTCATTCTACTGAGGGTTTGCTTCCCAGTTCTGCCACCCTATCTTGATCTGTGACCTTAGGCTAGTAATAAAAAATGTCTAAGCCGCAGTTTTCCCATCTGTGAAGTGGGAAGACGATGTTCATGTATCTACTAGCGTTGCTGAGAGGATTAAAAGAGCTGTTTGTAGACAGATGTAGTCATACGCATAGCATCTAATAAGTGTTGACTGTTACTTATTGTTAGTTTATGAGCTGATTATAAGAACCATTCTTCCTGTGGCTACAGAGTCAAACATTCAATTCCTCTTGATTTGGTTGTGTGATCTTTCTCTTTATCTGGAAATAAACTCACTTCAGTTACTTAGGACCAGTTTTAATCAAGCCAATTTAAAAACAAGAACGTCCAAGCCTCACGTGCTCTTTGCCAGCTTTCACTGGTAGCGTCGTGTGTGTTTTCCCTGGCAAGTTTACAGCATCATAAATTCGCTGGGCAGCCGGCAGCAGCAGGCAGAACAAGGCATTTCTCTTGATTGGCCGTGGAACAAAGAGCCCAAGGCCAGTGACCACTGCTGCCCACACCAAGCTCCACCATGCCCCTCATAAGTGTGAGAGAAACTGACAAAAGTTTCTGCAAAGTGGTACATTTATTTTGGTGCAAAAAAAGAATGTTTGAAATGGGCGAGTGGGCATTTGGCACAATAGGTAAGCGACAGCCTGGGGTGCCCACATCCTATGCCCAAGTGTCTGCGTGGAGTTCCAGCTTCGCTCTCTGCCTCTCTGCCTCGCACCTGGGAGGCAGCAGGAGATGATTCAAGTGTTGGGTCTGTGCCACACACATGGAAGACCTAGACGGTACTCCTGGCTCCTGACGCTGGCCTGACCCAGCCCTGGCTGTTGTGGGTTTTGGGAAGTGAGTGGGTCAGCATGTGGGAGATCTCTGTCTCTATGCCTTTCAAATAAAATTAAATAACTAACTTTAAAATTTCCTAAATCATATATGAAAAGTCTTCAAAATCCTTATGGAAAATGCATATATGAATTCAATTCCATGTATAGATTTTGAAATTTTTTGCACCAAAATAAACCTACTTTTTTTTTTTTTAAGATTTATTTATTTGAAAGGCAGAATGACAGAGAGGGAGAAAGAGATCTTCCTTCCATTGGTTCACTCCCTAAATGGCTGCAGTGGCCAGGACTGGGCCAGGCCAAAGCCAGGAGCCAGGAACTCCATCCGTGTCTCCCACGTGGGGAGGGAGGGGACAAGCACTTGGGCCATCTTCTGCTGCTTTCCCAGGCGCATTAGCAGGGAGCTGCATCAGAAGTGGAGCAGCGGGACTCAAACTGGTAGCGCCCATATGGAACTCTGGCGGCACAGGCAGCGGCTTAACCTCCAGGCCACAGCACCAGCCCCTGAGCTCATCTTTCCAACCCAAAGTTGCAGAAACTTTTGCAAGCCCCCTTGGAGGAGACCTACCCCTCAGAACCTGCCCTGCTAACAGCTTCAGCTAACCAGCCCTTCCCGTGTGCTGCTCTTGCAGATGGCTACGCCTTTTCTCAAGAAGAGCACGGAGCTGTTACTCAGGAAGAAATAGTCCGTGCGTACGACACCACCAAGAAGAAAGCGAGGAAGAAGTAAGATGCGCGTTCTCCCGACGGATCCGAGGAGACACACTCGGTTGGTTGCACCCGGTGTTAACACGTCTTGGGCAGAAGAGACAGGCGGCAGCCGCCGAAAACACCGGACACACATTTCTGTGGCCTTAGCCAACCAGTTGGTTAGTTATATATCCCCTCGCACACCCGGAGTAGAGCCCGCTGGGGAAGCCATTTCGTTCCCTCCCCGTCTGTCTGCAGTGCTTGGCCGGACTTCTGTTTACATTGTTATGAAGCATTCCGCTGTGCTCTGTGAGGTGTGAAATTAAAAACATTATGTTTCACCAATAGCTAAACCCCAGGACTAGTTGCGAGAGAACAGGAAGGCGGTTTTATGTTGCGTGAGAGACCCATCTCGTGTGACTTCGGCGGGCGCGCCCGCTTCCTGTTGGGTCCCTCACAGATGACGTCAGCCAGGCCGCCTGCAAAGGTCACCCTGGACGGCTGACACTGGCGCCTTGCGTCCTGTTTTGTGTGTATGGAGTTGGCATGAACTTCCTGATGGCGGTGAAATCACGAAAAGCCTATCTTGGGGTGGTAAATCAGAGAACATTTATTCGACGCTCAGCTACAGTCGCGGGTGGGCAGACCGGCGACCCGTGCCTGTGCACCCGCGCCAGGTGCCTGCCAGCGTCGACCACCCGACCACCGCTGTGCAGGCGCCCCCCCATGCTCAGGCCTTCTGCGTGGCTGGCCACTGTGCTCAGTGCATGGCTGCTGCAGCCCACCAGCCCCGTCTGCACCTCTCGCTGTCCTACTGCGGACTCCTAGGGATGCCGGAAGTCCCTTCTCCCAACACTCTTTTCGGTCTATATAAGGAAGAGGAACAGCTATTCCACCTGTATTCCAAACGTTTACCTGCTCCCTTCTGGCTGGGAAGTCTCCGGTCAGGTGGCGGAGGAACCCCCAGGATCCATTGCCCAAGCTCCAGACCCCAGGCCTTTGACAGCCGCTTGCATTAGAAGGCATGTGTTTGGTGGGAGTTGAGATCACATCTTGGATTTTCACTGTAGGGAAATGAGCGCCTCCTTCTTGTACCAGTGGATCACTCCTGTCCCTCTGTAGCTTTGGGGTGGAGCATGAGGCAACCCAAAGGGAAAATCCGAGACATGGAGAGCGGCCAGGAACATTCAGAAAGAGAAGGAAAGGCAGGGGAGAGCCAGGGAGGGGCGCCCAGGACAGTTTCCACCAGATGTCCCCTCAAGTCAAGCCCTGAGTTGCAGAAGATCCTTGTCATCAGCTTCTTGTGCGTAGAAGCTCAAACAAGACCTTGACTCGCAGTCATCATGGAGGAGAATTCCAGCCATTTCAAGGGAATGCCCATTCTTAATATCGACCGGGGACCTTTTGGGGTATCAGTGTCCTGTGTTCCGAGACAAGGCAGCGGTGTGCTGAGTCCCTGGCTTCCCCAGCTGCACAGCCCCCTGTTCTAAATTTGGATCGAAGCTGGATGCCTTCGGGCATGAACGTGAGCACCTGGAGCCCTAATAAGTGACCCGCCTGCAGGCATGTTCTCTCCTCTTTGCTTTGGTTGCCAAGGCAGATTTTTGGATGGCTTAAAGTAAATACTTCTGGGCAGCTGTTACTGGTTAAAATGGCACAGTTCCTCTGGGAACGGTTGTGCTAAATTAGGAAATAAAACAATAGTGCACTTTGCTTCCTAGCCCTTTTATTTTCAGAACTTCCACAACGTCTTGGCATTGGAAATCAGCTAGAATGTGATTTGCATCTCGTGCTGTGGCTGGGGTGCAGGAGGGGATGGTGGGGAAGTGCAGCAGTACAACTTGCAGGTGAGACGCAGAAAATCGCCCTTCCTTCCCCAGAGGTGCGTAAGAGGTGTTTAAACACTAGAGCAGCCAGCAGGCTGAATCAGTGAGGGACTGCGGTGCAGAAAGTTTGCAACAAAAAGTGTACCTGGAGGTGTAACACAACACCCCAAGGTTTGTGTCTTCCCTGCACATCAGAAGATCATGGTCAAAACCCAGAGCGCAAATGAACATGGGAATTGATTGTGTGTTAGGCATTTTCACTATGTGGGAACTTCACGAAGTCCATGGAAGAAAATCAAGTGATAAATTTATTTTGGTGCAAATGACTTGAATCTAGGCATCCTTTTTTTTTTTTTTTCATAATAGTATTTTTCATCAACTTTGTGAAGACCCGCCTCATGTGTGGTTTCATCTGGGATCTAAGCCTGTTTGGAAAGAGTGATTTAAAACTGAGTTTTCTGTCACACACTTAGCTCTTTCTGGAACTTGCAGCCTTCCAAATCGTGTTTGTGAATTAAACTGTATGTTTGTGTCTGTTTGGAGTTTTTTGTTTGTTTGTTTTATTTTCTTGGTTAAAGCACAGTTCACATTTTCTGGGATTTATGTGTATTTTCCTTTTCTTTGGAGAAGCAGACTAAACAGTCTTTGAGATAATGAAATATGCACACGGGAGAAGAGACTCTTCGGAGGCATGCCTTTCTATTTATCCTCCCCTGTGATGAAGCTTTCTTATAGCCAGGGACTAGATAGGGTTTCGAGGAGGAACAGCTGTGACTATGTGTGATATAGAATATTCAGCCAGCGCGACTTGGGGCTGTGTCACTTGTCCTATCTTTAAATTGAGGTCAGAATGTCACACAAATCCCTTCCCCAGGGAAGCGGGTGGATGGGACCAGGTTGCATGCCCTGGCTGTCAGCTCAGTGGAAATGCCACCTGGGACTTGTCAGTCTGCCTCACAGGCTGGTAGGTCATGCTCGGTCAGCACTCAGGGGCCTGCCTATGGATAGCCTAAGCTGGCAGAACCACTCAGGTCAACGCTTCCACCAGTGCTGCCTGTAGCCAGTCGGCTCTCAGTTGAGGCCGCATGGCTGACAGCAGGGAGAGGCCTGCTACCGTGTGAATTTAGTTCTCAGTCTACCGCTCATGCACCCATGCCCGCAAGGGTAGCTGTGAGAAGACAGACTGCAAAGGGAGGAGGGAGAGCAGAAGGCATTAGAACCCGTGGCTGCTCAGAGTCCTGTCTCTGTGTGGAGTATCCCAGGCTGCCTGCTTGGCATCATGGTCCCATCTCCCAACCCAACAGGTGCACACGCACACACACACACTCACATGGAGAAACAAGTGACCACTTTTGGAGATCATTGTAGCATACAAAACCTGTGCTTCGGAGAAAGAAAGGAGATGGTGTTGCTTTAACACTCATCGTAAAAGGGGAGCCAGGGTTGGAGCAGAGATCAGCCAAGAACTGTGTTGACGTTTGCTTTTCCTTGACAAGGCTTCGGGTTTTGCTATAGGGAGCTGGCAGTGAAAACCAGTAATAACTTGTCAAGAAGCAGTGAATAATGGAAAGACAGGGAATCTGGGGAGCTAATGTTTGAAAATGCAGATGGACACACTCAGGTGAATTTTTTAGGAAGAAGGCTATAGCTCTGTTCTCCACTTGTTGTAGCAGTGACCCTTTATCTTGTTTATCTGAACCACAAGGTTTTCTAGCAGATCAGCTGGTTCCCAGGGATTTATGTCTCAGCCCCTACCTTGAATAGAATGTTTGCAAAATGCTGCTGTGGGAGAAGGCAGGTCTTTAGCTCTGAACATGTGAAAACAGTGCACACATTTCAGCCCCGGTTTAAATTACTGCTCAGGGTCATTGTCCCAAAGTAATTCAAGGAGTGATTTAGCTTCAGCATTTGAAATGTAGCCTCCATCTCCTGGGATCCATAAAAAAATGTGAGCAGGCAAACCGCGGCTCAGCAGAGCCTGCAACAGTAACTTGGCAGAGGGTTTAGGTGAAGCCCGAAGGTGGCACCCCTGTCATATTCATCAGGCATGTCCCTCATGCAAACGCTTAAGTTACCAAATACACTCTTGGAGAGCGCCATTCACTAAGGCTGCCCTGCTGAAAATAAATAAATAAAAGTGCACACTAGTTGGTTTTATTGTTGGTTTTGCATTAGCTCAAGGCAGGTATCTGTCCTGTTTAGTACTACCTTGAGGGAGTTCAGTGAACCTCCCAATAAGGCTTTTTTCCATCTTGAAGGACAGAAGGATTTCCAAAGGGTCATAGAGTGGGGACCGAAGACCCCTGTAACGACATTATTATGTATGCATGGAAGGAGTAGACCAGGAATATTCAACTTGATGTGTTCTTCCTTTATTTATTTTTCCCCTCCGCATCCCTAATCATCCAACATTACCCATTTTCATTCCCCTTCAACCTCCATGAGTTGCTTTGTTTGATCTCATACCTGCCATACCTGCTGGTTCTGGCTGTCTCGCAGCGTGTTGGGTGTGATTTGTGAATGTGGGACTCAGGCTCGAGTGGGAAGCGAAGGTACTGAGTTGACATCAGCCTAAGTGGTCAGAAACCACAAACAACTGGGATCCGCAAAGAGAGCTGAGCTCACCCCCGCCCCGCATGGGATCCATAGACGCCGACCTCGGCAGAACACCTCTGCTCTCCCAACAAAAGACTGATTCTTTTTGCACCCGGCCTGGCTCATTGTCAAATGACAATCTCTGGCCCGGGTTGCCTTTGAGATATCTGCTCTGCTCCTTCTCCCAGGCGTCGGACCAAGAAAAACAGGCTCACACGATTAGCCCACAGGCGCTGCCGCTGACCTGGCTGCAGAAAGGAGACGTGTTTGTTTGAAAAGTCAGGAACAAAATGTCAGGTGGCTTTGATTTATGACAGAAATAGGAAGAAGAAAGTTGAAGGAACAGCACTATCCAAATAACCCTGCCCAGGAAACTTAGGGGTCAAGAGAGCTTATCACGAGCCTTTTATAGGTGAGCTCTTCCGTGCGGAAGAGAAGAGGCCGGAAAGAGGCAGAGGCCGCCAGAGCAGCTGTGAACGCACTGGCCGTGGCTCAGAGCGGCCAGGGGTGGGATCCGGTTGTGTTGCCAGAGATGGTGTAGTGTGCAGTTCCAGTTGAGATACCAACCGCCAACACTACACCAATCACAAAACAAAACAAACATCTTCCTGCTCATGGAGTTCCTCGCCCTCCGACAAGCACCGCCATAAATAGAGGCGCTCCTTCTGTGTCAATTAAAACAAAAATCTCCGCACCAAGAAAGTCTGGGATCTGTCACTAGCAAACTCATATGGAAAGGACTGAAGCCAACTCTGGCTGTCCTCTCTGGTGCCCTTTCCCATGTCTCCAGTGATGGCAGAGCTCAGAGACCAGCCAGGCTGCGCCCCTGCAGCACCCGCACACACACCCCGTCCCTGACCATCAAGGGCAATGCCAGGGCTTTGGTGGGGCCAGCTGCAGGGGCGGGGCGTCGTTCCTGCGGGTCCCTCAGTTGCCGTTTGAACGCAGCATCTTTGTGGCGTCTTTCTCTCCTGTGAGCAGAGCCATGTGCTCTCCTGTCACATCTGTGCTTGGATTGCTTAAATATTGTTTGTGATGGGAGATTTTAATCTGGTTATGCAGGGGGAAGCGGGCTGTGGGGCACATTTAATTGGCTCCCAGCAGAGCGGTGAGGCTTCTGAGGCATGTGGGGATTTTGTTCCCTCCCTCTAGAAGTGTTAGCGTTTTCACGTCCTATTAATGTCCTCTGATTGTTAAATTACAGCAGCACATTCTAGTGGAGCTGGGTTCTGTCCTGGAGTGAATACAAATGAAGAGCATCTACTTGTATGTTTAGAGGTTTTTGGAGAATTTAGTGATTTGTGGCTTTGATCAAACCTGTTGACTGGTATATGTCTACACAAACCTGTTTCAAATAAATCTTTTGGTAAAGTAAGTGATTGTACCGTGTTTTATTTTGAAATTTTCTTTGCTGCTAATAAGCAATTCCAGCCATGGGGACTTAGGACTGTAACACAGGGCTTTGTCAGCAGGTGCACACTCTGCCTGCAGAGCTGGCTGTGGCCAAGGCGGTGCTAGTGACTGGCAGCCATGCCGGAGAGACTGAATTGCTGATGAACGACAGTGCCTGCTCCAAGGCTGGGCTCCCTCCAGGAGAATAGGGTCCCAAAGGTCACTCTGAGCTTGGATTTGGTCACTCAAAGGAAGACTTTTCTTCCCCTGCTCACTTCCCTCCCAGTTCATCTCAGATCCCTGCAGACAGATGGGGACAATTCAAAGTGTATTGTCCCACATCAAATCATGAAGTTATTCTAGAGGGGAAAGACACTTTTGATCACTTCCTGGACAGGCTGAGGATTCCTTAAATCCAAAACTGGAAATCTGAAATGCTCCAAAATCTGAAACTTCTACACACCAGGATGATGCCACAAATGGAGAATTTCATACCTCACCTCGTGGGAGAGAGAGCTTCAGTCAAAATGAAGGTACACTAAAACCAATGTGTGAAATTAACCTCTCTGTATAACTTGTCCATGAAACTTAATTGAATTTCATGTTTAGACTCGTGCCCCATCCCCGAGATATCTTACTATGGATAAGCAAATACTCTAAACAGCACAGAAATCTAAAATCAGACATTTCTGGTCCCTGGCATTTTGGATGAAGGATACTGAGGATGAACAAGGAATTGCATTCAGGTAGGCACCTGTTGCCTTGAGGTTCCTTGTGATGCCTCACACCAAGGAAGCCACCTTGAACCTGGGCAAGGTGGGAGCTATGAGTGGCTAGGGGTCTGGATCCCAGAAGCCCCCTGCACTGTCTCTCTGAATGAACTCGAGTTTCCCAGAGCTCACGTTGATTCTGCAGCCGTGCCTGTGAGACCTGAACTTGGCCAGCTCCCTGTGCTTGTAGCTTCAGCAATGGCCTCTCCCCAGATGGTGGGGGATGGGTGGGTAGGTATATGGGAGGCCTGAGCAGTAGACTCAGTTCTGTAGCCCAGAGCAGGCCAGAGAAGTACTTCCTCTTGCTCTACACAAGCTGAGCCTTTCTTTTTTTTTTTTTTTTTCCAGTAGTGATAAACTGAAAATGACTGAATACAATCAATGGCAAAATGTTAAATTCCAACCTTGGCCATTTTGTGGTTGTATCTTTACAACATCTGCCTTGGCTGCTACAGTAGGTTTTCTGAAATGTCATTCTTCACTGGTGCTCTGCAGAATAAACTTGAACTCAGACAAGCCATGGTCAGGTGCAGACCCTGCATCCGTTCCTAAAGCAACGTTCTTGGTGTCCTCACTGGAAAAGACTCAGGATATTTGGGGAACTTACTCACATTCTATTTACTTTCAAAATGTTTCTGTTAGAGACATGTAATATGGGTTGCAATATATAGCAAAGCAGCAAGGCATCTGACGGGGCCCTCTCTAGCCTCTAATATCTTCAAGTTTGTGTTTGCATGTATATGCGTGTGTATGCATGTGTATGGGTATGTGTGTAGGTGTATCCATGTGAATGGGTGTGTGCATGTATGTATATATGTTTATGTGTGTATCTGTGTATGCATGTTTATGTGTATGCGTGTGTATCTGTGTATGTGTGTGTATGGGTGTATGCATATATATATATATGTGTATGCATGTTTGTGTGAATGCATGTGTATCTGTGTGTGTATGTATGAGTGTCCCAGGCTTCTTCTTTTTTCTTTTCAAAGATTTTATTTACTGGGGCCGTGGCTGTGGCATAGTGGGTTAATGCCCTGGTCTGAAGTGCCGGCATCCCATATGGGCGCTGGTTCAAGGAGGCCTAGCTGTTCCACTTCTGATCCAGCTCTCTGCTATGGCCTGGGAAGGCAGTGGAAGATGGCCCAAGTCCTTGGGTCCCTGCACCTGCATGGGAGACATGGAGGAGGCTCCTGGCTCTTGGTTTCGGATCAGTGCAGCTCCGGTCGTTTCGGCCAGTTGCAGTGAACCATCGGATTGAAGACTCTCTCTCTCTTTCTCTCTCTGCCTCTTTTCTCTCTGTGTAACTCTGACTTTCAAATAAATAAGTATTTTTTTTAAATTTTTATTTATTTATTTGAGAGGTAGAGCCACAGACAGTGAGAGGGAGAGACAGAGAGAAAGATCTTCTTTCCATTAGTTCACTCCCCAAATGGCTGCTACAGCTGGAGCTGAGCCGATCCAAAGCCAGGAGCCAGGAGCCTCTTCCCGGTCTCCTATGCAGGCACAGGGACCCAGCACTTGTGCCATCTTCTACTGCTTTCCCAGGCCATAGCAGAGAGCTGGATTGCAAGAGGGGCAGCTGGGACTAGAACCAGCGCCCACATGGGATGCCAGCACCGAGGCAGAGGATTAACCTACTGTGCCATGGACAGTAGATGGGGGATTGAAATCCAGACTCTCATTTACCTTCACTTTCCCTCCAACCAGTCTCCCCAAACTCCTGCCACATTTTGTGTTTCCAGTTCCTAATGCATGGAGAACTTAATCCCAACAGCTTTGGGGTAGGGGCCAGAGCTGTGGTTTAGCTGTTTAACCATTGCTCGCAACACTGGCATCCCATACGGAGCACTGGTTCAAATCCTGGGGGGAGGCAATGGAAGATCATGGGAGAGCTGGTGGCATTCTGGGTCCCTGACTTTGGCAGCTATTTGGGGAGTGAACCAGAGGGTGGAAGATTCTTTCCCTTTCACTCTCTCCCCTCCCTTCTTTTGTCACTGTTTCAAACAAATAAAATACACCTTTTTATTAAAAAAAATTCCAAAAGCCCTTGGGTAGGCTCCAGCTTCCCTTTCCTTTGCTTCTGCCCTTTCCTCTGCCCACCCCCACTCCTGGTTAGGGCAGGCACCTCTGCTAGAGTGCAAGGGAGAGTGCAGAGTGGGCTAGAGACCGAGAGTCTCCCCGCTCCAGCAAAGGGACTGAGGAGTGTGGCATAGAGAAGTGGGGGCTCCTGTCACCTGCAGTGTGAAAAGGGGCTCCTGGTGCAGAGGAAGGGGTCCAGGTGCCCCCAGGAGAGCCCAGCAGCCTACAGTTCGCTAGGTGGAGTATCACCACTTGATCGTCTGTCCTGTTAGCGATGTTACAGAACCAAGCTCAGCGCCTGTGCCTCTGCAACCCTGGCTGCTGGGCAGTGCGGCGGGGGGGGGGGGGGGGGGGGGTTGCGGGCACGGCAGGCACGTGCTCTCCAGGTTGTGTCACTCACTTCCTCACACTCACTCACTCTCCCTTTCATTGCCACCAGCTTCCTCCACCCACTTTTGCAGCAAGGGCCTCAGCCTACACCTGTTCTTGACACTAAGCTGCAGAGGCTCAAATTGGCAGAAAGTCACTTGACTGGACCCCGACCCTAAGAGACCACCCCCCCCAGGAGTCCCACACCTGCAGGGTGCATCCCAGAGCTGGGCGCTGGCTCCACTGCTTCCTCTGGAGCTTGGATGGCCTGGACTCCCCAGGTTTGATTCCAGCTTCACAGCGCCAGTGGAAGCAGCACAGGGCTGGGGGAGGCCCCCCTGCAGGTGCTCCCACCTCGCTCTCAGGCTGAGGTCTCTGGCTGCTTTGAGACTTGATGTTCTCTCCACCAGCCCATGTGAGAGAGAGCCACAAGGGCTAGCCCTCCACAGCACTCATCTGGTGGGGAGCACAGGGGAAACCCCCGTCTCTGAGTCTGGCCCATTCCTGGCCCACGAAGAGGGAGGTTGAGCCAGGTCCCCAAGGGTCAACACCACCTTGCCCTAGCCCTACTGGCTCATCTGAAAGCGAAGTCTAAAGCCAGGTGTCTCATCAGAGGAATGAGGGTGCCCCAAGCCCGGCCTGGTAAAACGCTCCAGGCTCTGATGCCTTGTGCCCTAAGGGGTCTTCGAAAAGTTCACAGAAAATAGGTGTTGTGAAAAAAAAATGCATGGATTTAAAAAAAATTGCAGCAAAATAAACTGATGTTTTCATTCTGTTTCGTCTTGGAGGTTTTGAAATAATCTCATATGAACCTTTCAAGGGGACTTTGCATCATTTGTTGAAAAATCAAGCAGTGCTTACAATTAGAATGAGAGCTGGGGTCCTGGAACTTTATATACAGGTTGAGCATCCTTAAATCCACAAATTCAAAACCCAAAGTGCTGCAAAATGCAAACCCTTTTGAGCACCTACATGATGCCGCAAGTGGAATATTCTGCCCAGAGCAGGCCATTTGGCATTGTGGTTATGACAGAAGAGGCGTGCCTCCCTATCAAGTCCTGGCCCTGCCTCAGTCCATGTGGGAGACCTGGATTGTGCTTCTGGTCCCAGCTTTGGCCTGGCCCAGCCCTAGCCGTTGCAAGCATTTCCATGAGCTTTCCATGTCTGTCTGTCTCTTTCTCTGTCTCTCTGCTTCTCAAATAAATAAAAAATTAAAAATAGAAAATTCTGCTCCATGATATTTTGTTTTATGCACAGTGTCATTACAAACATTGTATAAATTACCTTCAGGCTATGTGTACAAAATGTATATGAAAAATGATACATTTTGTGTTTAGACTTGGGTTTTGTAAGATATCTCATTATGGATATGCAGATAGTACACAATGCAGCAAATTCCAAAGTCTGCAACGCTTTGGAGAAGGATTACCCAGTCTGTATTACCAAGCATTTCAAATCAGGGAAACTTATTCTGTGTGACCGAAAGAGGACAAAATAAAATCCCTGCACCTACCAAAGCGCCAAGCATTAAACCCATCAGTCGAGCTCACAAGCATTAAGCTTTCATTATGAAAAGAGGGCCACACACAAATAAAATGATTTGAACTACTCTCAAAGCTCTGTCTTGAGCTGCTTGTGTCTTTCCGTAATTAACTGTCCTCAACTTGGGATTCAGGAGCAGTGGCTATTTAAAGGAAGGCTATTTGGAGAACCACATCCTTAGCCGTGGCCTTGAACTTGAATGTCAGCCCCAAGGAGTTTCTAT